TGTAAAAAGAGAACTTGGAAAAGTGAGGGGAGCTGCAGACGGAAGGCGCCCGAACCCGTCTCGGCGCACGGTCTTCGCTTCTGCCCAGTTCGAGTGGAGAAAAGGCCGCCCGTTTGCATCCAGTCACAACCAACCAATCCGCTTGTTTTTTCCTTCGCTTACCCGTGCCTTGTTTTCCATCGTATCCATTAATTCTTCTGTTGGGTCGTTGGAGGCCATGCCGGCAGTAAGTATAAAGTGATCCGGAGGTACACGTTCGGGGATTGGGTGATTCTTTCTCTTCGCTGGCGGTATACAAATGTCCTCCCCGACCGACCGCTACATAGCAGTCAGTCACACATAGAGACACACAGTTCGTTCTGTGCTACCCCTCCCTGACTATTAGCATAGTAAGTAGTACTAAGGTGTCATGTGTATCGCCACGTGTGGTGGCGTTGCTTTTCATTGGACAATGCCCTATATACAGGCAGGTATATAGCATGGATCTATCGTCACTTCATCTTCATGACCTCCCTATCGTTAATCTGAAATATTGCAATACATGACACCACACCTGCAGATAATTTTCGACTTGCCGCCTATGCGAGCACCAGTCCACGCTAGTTCGCAGCCAGGACGGCCACTGCCCATGCCGGCAAACTAAAGGTAAATGTACCATTGCTCGCCTGTACCGTCGATTCACTCGGCGTGACCAGCGTCTGAGTGTCCGAGTTGTACGCATCCGGATCATTGTCCGCCAGCACCGTCAACTTACCCGTGCTCGTTCCTGGGATGCTCACGGTAAGGTCTTGCGTTTCCGAGCCGTAGTTGGCCAGCTTCACGTAGTACGAGTCGCCGGCGCTCGACGCAACCCAGTACAACGGTCCAAAGTCGCTGTCAGAGGTCACCTCCTTAATGGTATCACCTCGGTTGCGCGAGAACATTTCCTGCACGTAGTAGCTGGTCGAGAGGAAAATGTCATCGGGTGACTGTGTGTATCCGATCAGGTCCGGCTACCACTCGTTAGCTCATCTATGCCGTCGAATACCGCTGTGCAACAATGACTCACCGTCCACTGAGTCGAGTTCACCAGCTGGAGCAATGGCGCATACGCCGCCATCTTGACCACATCGCTGTTCCTCTCGAACCCGATCATGAAAACGGCCTCGGAAACCGACCCCTTCATGTTGGGCCAGTCGATCTCCCAGCGCGAATACTCGCCGATGAAGTACGGCACAGAGCGGTCCAAGTTGTCGAAATAGTTGAACTGGCCCACCAGTCCATCGGGCGTGCTGTAGTCGTGGTAGTCGACCCAGCTACCCTCGGGCATCGACTCGGGCAAGCAATCCGCCTCGCTGGTGCTGGCAATAAGGATGAGGTCCGGGTAAGCTGCATGGATCGCATCATAGAAGGCAGTGAAACGTTCGGGGTAGGACTCGCATCCGCCTCCCAGCATATCTTCATTGCCAATCTCGACCATGGTAAGGTTCCACGGCTCCTCTTGTCCGTTGGCAGCGCGCCATGCTCCGTAGGTCGTGCTCGTATCACCCAAGATGTACTACCGTAGGGTTAACCTCAGCTATCAATGGGATTTGTTGCTCAACATACTTCAAGTTCGTTTAGAACATCATCGATATAAGGGGTCAGTGCGTCGCCTGTGATTGGGGTGTTGCCACCCGACTCCAGAGCGAACCCATCCCAGACACCGAGCACCGGCACGAGTCCCAAATCCTCACACCAGTAAAAGTATTCGTGGAGGCCTACAAGCGTTAGTACCGTAGTTAGATATTTGCATATAATTGTACTTACCAAGACCATCAGTGTTATAGTAAGTCCAAGTGCCTATTTACCGTCAGGAATGAATGTTTCGCTCCTGATGTTAAGACATACCTTCACGGCCGGGACGATCCCAGAGATCGCCGATTGTCTCGTTCCACTTCCAGCGGTTTTCTGCGCTGTTTCCCTCACTGTCTCTGGTGAGCGTCGCTAACCTTGCTAGATGAGTTGGGACCTACAGGTTGTTGCCGCCGGGAAATCTCAGGAAAGATCCTTTCATATCAGCCAGCACATTGGCAAGCTGGGGCTTCAGGCCATTTTCCCTACATAATCAGCCCCTATGTCACTCTTCAAGATATGGACATGCGAACCTTGATTTATAAGTCTCACCAAAAAGCGTCAAGTATCCGAAGTTCAACGACGAACCAGCAGCCACGCTTCCATCAACTGTGAGCTCGTACAAGACGTTGCCATCTGGAGCCTTGGTGGTGGGGAACTTGACGGAGGCTTGGGTGAAGTTGTCTGCTGTGGACGTATGGGTGATAGTGGCAGAGCCGTACTCCGTGCCGGTATAGTTTCCAACCAGTCGGACGGTGATGTCGCCCGAGTAATCTCCCTTTATCCAGAAGGAACTCTGGAATTCGCTGCCGTCGACTGGGATGCCCCAATATCCCTCATTAGTGAGACCCACCGCACCGGTAGCATCATCCGCAACATCCAACTTAATAGTGCTGGGAATGGCAGAATTCAATGGACTGTCACCATCAATCGCGATGGTAGCATCACCGACAGCCGCCCAAGCAGTCAGGTTGGGTGTCGTTCCCTGAAGGCCAGGGTTCTGCAGCAATTGCCCGTAAATTCCTCCGTCTCCTGAGTGATTGATATCCTAAACCATCGTTAGAGAATGCACTGTCAATGGGCGCCGTTTCTGCAGCCTACCTCAAACATAAACCCATATAGAATGGGACTGGATGAGTTGCCACCCTGGGTGGAGACCTTCAAGGAAACTCCATGCGCATGTTGAACGAGGGAGAGCAGTAAAGAAAGAGCACTGACGCCCGAAAGTGCTGAGAATGCCACCATGTTGCCGGCTGTCTGAAGGAAGCTGAGCCTGGTCTCATTGTTGCAAACGGAGGATACGAGGCCTTTTATAATCGGACTTCATGAAATTAACCGGGGCAGTAAACAACCAAGACAGCAGCGGATGTGGTGGGGTCATCACAACGAAGTCGAAGACTATCAACCGAGAAGCCAAGAAATCGAGGAAGAGGGACGATGCCAGTGGAAGAGTGGAACAGTGGAGGAGAGTGGAGGTGGAATGTTGAATGTGGAGGAGAAGACAGAAGGGGGAGGAAAAGCGTGACTGCACGGGGCATGCACTTGCCCGCCACGATGTCTTGGTACCTCTCTCCACCGCGTCCTCCGAGTCCCTCCAGTTGCTCACTCCATCATCTGTGCCATCCTTTTAGCCGCACCCACGCCGAGATCCAAGTGGACAGTGAGTCTGTGTTGTACCGAAATAATCCCGACGGCTAACCCCAGAATTCCCCGGCTCTCCAATTTTAGGTCCCTTAGCCGGTCGTACGACATGCCGATCCACCCATTCTTCAGTTCTACAGAAACTTTGGCGCATCAAAGCTCGGCTCATAGTCCCCCGTCAGGGAAGGTTGGTGTCTCAAGACATGTCGCCTCAACTCCGTCGCAATGTCCAACCAGCTGACAAGTTTTGTGCCTGCGCTTTACCAATGCGGAGTCGATAGTGATACAGAAATCCTATCTATGGAAGATATTGAGATTTCAGTCTTCTCAACATATGGTCAATCCGTTGTCTTGAACCCTCAGGGCATGTGCTGGACTACTATCGGGCTAGTCAGCCGCCTAGCCTTTGCAGATCCACCCAAGCGAAACTCTGACGTCGGCCGTGCACTTTCCCCCTCATCGTTACTCCGCATTTTAATGTGGTGGATGTTCTCCGAGCAAGGGAAAACCCCGGCGGGACCCCTGAGACAACTTGCTGATACTGGAGTAGTTTTCGGTCCCTGATCCAGCCACAGCCGTCCCTTGGTTCTTCCCGGCTTATCTCTCTCCGGGATGTCGCTGCCACCTTCGTCATAATTATACCGTTAGAGTTTGCCCCTGTTTCTCTTCTGCTTTATCGTTGATTCCGAACCATCATAGAGTCTGCTCTTTTCATCCTTTGACTGCTGCGCCTACCGCGCTATGCGAGACATTATAAACTTAGACCTCAATCATTATGGTTCATGCCGTTTATGGCGATCGGGTGCAGTGTTCCTGGAGCTTCGCTACCGGCACAGCTGCTTATATCACTACTGACGAGTCTCTCTAGTTTCAGTCGTCTCCCATTGTACTTGCATATTCGAACCAGACCATGCCCTTTAGACTTCAGTTGAATATAGCCGCATATCTCAATCCAAGGACCGGGAAAGTCGACGGTTACGTTGATCTCCCACTTTCCAGGCGTGACTCTGTCTTCACTCCAATTCGGCGACACCACACAAAATCTAGAGCAGGGCCACAACTGTTCCTTGACAAGTTGAAATGAAAGACAAGTTGAAATGAAGAACAACCAGTAATCCTAGAATATAAAATAGCCGTCATAATGCTATGATCCTCAACCACTCGTGTCACAGGCCTTGGCCGCAGAGAATCTACTAATTCTAAACCTCGAAATGGATCATACTAGCAGTAACTTGTACATACATTGCACACCGATAGACATCACCAGAGGTTCGAAACCATGTTCTTTCAGTTTGCAATAGCTCAAGCTATGTCAGACTCTACCACATAGTAATTTTAGTACTTGAAAGTTTTAAGCTGGTAAAGAGTTCTGATATGGGGGGAAAAAAAAACCCGTCCTACATGTTCTATTGTGCAAAGATGAAGATACATATTGGCATTCAATATTTCACACCGTCATGAATACTTCATAGTACAAGAAATGATAATGCGGCTCTTAGGCTCAATGGTTTCGTACGACGAAAATATACCCTTAACGCAGGAGCTAATGATCGCTGTAGCCGGATCGATAGAGGGAGCTCATCTTAGCTTCACCATAGGCAATACGCCCTGGTTACTAGACTCCAGCACCACGGTGAGGTGTGAGCTCATCGCTGGAGACCTGATCGGGTTCGATCAGGCGGCCGCGTCCACTTGAGACCTGCTCGGGTTCGACCAGGCACAGGTTCCTGCTGGGTTCTTAATCAGGGACGGGCGCTTAAACAGAATCAGGTTTCTACCACGGGGGAGGGGGAAGCAAACAGCCAGGATAGGAACAGACCGATGGGAGCTGACTCCTTTTCCTCAAAGCTGTAAATCTTCGACGTCTCAACCACCAGCAGATCGTCAGACATGTAAGCACAGAGTATCCTTGCATGCCGTGGGTTCACAAGGGAAAGAAGGAGGAGTGGAAATTTCTGCTCATTTGGAAAGGCTGGTGCCTTCTCACCAACTACTTCATCAAGCTCTTCTAGATCCATTCGAGACAGCTTCTTCATCTCCTCTTCGCTTCCTACCTCAGGCTGTATGGCACGATCATGCATAACAGAAACAATCACTGCAAGCTCCCCATACAAAATGGAGCCCTCTCTAGCTTGTGCTGGCTGGGAAGCAGTTAACATAATATGGGGGAGTGGTGATTTGATTCGCCTATCCGGCTCAAGGCAAAGATCGATCTTCCAACCATCTTCGAAATTGGGAAAAAACCCATACGCTCGGGCGGACAACATGAAAGGATGAGGGTGACTGGAGATTTGAATGTATCAGTGATTGGACAAGGATGGTGGTCTCTTAAGATTTAGCTGACATGTATTGTACTCACCTTATGTGCCGCACTTTGTAAACATCCAGTAAGCTCGAGCGTAAGCCAGGGCCGATTTCAGTAGCAAGAGCCAACTCGCCGAAGAAATGGCACAATTCATCGGACCAATCAGCCTTATCAGCCATCACCAACCCGCATCTTTCTGCCCAGCTTCTCCGAATCGATTGGTTATAGTCAGGGAAGAGAAGCTCGATTAGAGGAAGGGAGTCGTGCGGCAATAATTAAGGCTGTTGGATGAACGGCACCGGTGTTACTGGAGAGCCCGTAAGGTTCGCTTCGATATCCCAAGAAGAGATAGAGATTTTATGTTCATGAAGGAACGATGGCAAAACATCTCCCTCTGAACCAGGCTCATTTGAGACAAAAGACACACTCTTAGGGCCCTCGACTTCTCCAGTAACAATGTGGTATAGCGAGATGACTCGCTCACGAACAACGTTTTCAGTCATCTTAGAAAAGGAATCTGAAAGAATAGAGATGATACTGAACCAAAGGAGTAGGCAACTTGACGACTTACTGTAGTAGTAAGTTGCGGGTGGTAGATGCGCGAAGTGTGGTGGACTGAGGAAGGCAAAGAGAAGAGGAACACAAAGCAAGGCTACAATCATGTGACAGAGTATTCAATGACAAAAAATGACCTAACCTTCTTCAAATCCACTCACTACCCAAAAGTCGATAAGTGAATATCAGCTTCTCAGGACAATCCTAGGGTCCATTACCGAGGGAGTCAAACGATGTAGATGAATTTTCACCCCCCGGCCTCCTGCAGAGGGCTAACTAACAAGTTTCTCTTTTTCTTCACGCCACTTGAAGCGGTTGTATAGCTTTTACATGGAAAGTTTTCAAGTAGTCGCATGTCTTAACAAAGTGACTGTGGATAGGACGTCTGAATATCCCCCTTAATAACCTCAGCTTATTCGCAAGACGAGCGTATCAATATTGCCCTTGATATCTTCCTGCCAAGCGTAGCCCAGGCCCCTGCAGAATTCTGGAACGCGGCCTACCCGCCAATTCCAATGCCATCAGGGGCTATCCATCGCTTCTGATAGTTAAGCGACCGTGACTCACAGGCGGCTATCAACCAATTCAAAAAGGGCGGCAGGGACTGCTAGCCATGAAGACTAGTATCGATACTGTAAAATGATGACGATGCTAGTTACCTCATCCAGCCGGAAAAGTCGAGGCCCCATTTAGAGTTAAAGTTGGTCTTCGGGGGAGTATTCCGATCTTGTGAAGGCCAGACCCGGGGTATCGCCAATAGGCCATGTTCTCCTTCACATGGTCTAGAAGCTATATTCAGCTGAAACTTACAACCTTATACCTTCATAGAATTCTACACCACCATTCACTCTTACTGCCGTGGGTAAGATGGAGAGACACTGGTTCGAAGACGCTCAAGATGTCACAAAGTCCCTCGAATGCTTGACGAATCTTATCCGTTCAGTGGTGGTCCTTAAAGGCAGCTTGATACACCAAGTCATACTATTCATGAGCCAAGCATTTTTACACCGTCCTTCATCGGGGGACCAATGAGCCAGATAAACACACAGTGTGGCCATTCGTTCAGGACGCAGATCCTATATCCTCACTGGCGTGAAGGCCGAGCCTTGCAAGATATGCATGTCCTTAGCGTCGAAAAGAAGAGACGGAGAAGGAGGAGGAAAGAGAAAAGAGAAAAGGGAAGGAAAAAGGTACGAATCTGCTCCTCGACCTCGCAGACCAGTTTAATGAATTATACCATCTGGTCTGCAGTGCTATGGCAGTCTCTGTTCTGAATCTTGTTCAATTCATTGGATCAAGCAAATGAGGCAGTTGACCCTGAGAGGCTTATGGCGGGTTGTTCAATCCATTTGAATATTGCATGCCGGAACGGGAGTACTGATCATGGACAACGCTTGAGACCAATCTGGGATCCAAGAGGGGACGACGAATATATTTACCCCTAACTCACCTAACTCAAGGGAATCCATCGAGGTGCAAACTTGGTAAGGTATACAGTCAGGTCGGTATATATAGTTTTAACAGAAAATAATGTATTCAAGGTTGTCTACTCTGGGATATCAAGCTGGAACCGAGATGAATTAAGTAAACACGATCTGTAAGCTTGTACCAATTCTCCTCTCAACACGAAGCAGACCATAGAAAGGAGCAGCTTCAACCCGGAAAATTGAACTATAGCTTAGGATCTTTCCTATCCAAAGAAGAGAAATTCATAATTCCGAATATGCAACTACTGACCCTGCATTGCAGTAGGTGATCCTTTCATCAAAAGTACGCATTAGGTGAAGGGAAGAAACCTCCCAGAATCACCTGGGTCGAACGGTCATGTATGTGCTGATCTCTTGCATGGGGTGAATGCAAGATGAAGATATGTTTAAACATGCCATTTCGGTCTTCGTGTGAATATTGGAAGCGGAATATTGGAAGCCTTCTTATTTGTTGCTCCCTTTCCTACTTCCGTATATTTGCCGAGAGCACAGCACCACGCCAGCCATTGCAAAATGCTGGCTATATTGCCGGAACTTTTACTATCTCAGTGCTCGTGGCTAGAAGGATATATCAGAGCCAATTCTCTTTCCTTTTCTATGAATGATTGGTGGATCCCACCCTCGTAAGTCGGGGTGTACTATAGTATCTATCCCAAATGATTGCATTCTATCAATGTAATTGGCTATACACACAATAGTAGGTATATTTCGCATGTACATCGCGAATGGTCCATACTTCAATCTACCCACACATATTCTTTCCACAGTAATGAATATAAAGGGAGCTCGTCTTAGCTTCACCCGTAGGTTACTAGACTCCAGCACCACGGTGAGGTGCGAGCTCATCGCTGGAGGCCTGGCCGAAATCGACCAGGCACCCGGCATCTACATGAGACCTGATAGCCTCGATACAGGCCTCATGCTCCGCTCGGGATTTTGTAGGTCATTAAGGAGGCCCTTGAATGCGAGGACACCTGACCCCAATTGGCTAGGCTCCCTTACTGCGCCCGAGTCTCGCATATACTCTACAGGGCAGGCGCCGTGTCCAACATGAGCCCTGATCTATGCGATACAGGACTCGTGTTCTGCTAGGGATTTTTAGCAGGGACACAAGATAGCTGGATGCCCATGTATCAGTACCCACTGACCACCTGATCGAGAACGACGCAGGCCTCAGTCTCTGCCAGGGATTTTCAGCAGGGAGAATCGCTGGGCACCTGACCGGAATCGACCAGACACCCGCACCCACCAGTAACCTGATCGAGTCGACACAGGCACTGGTTGTCCACTCGATACCTGTTCGAGTCAATACAGGCCTCAATCTCTGCTCGGGATTTTGTGCAGGCGAGTAATCTGAGCAGGGAAGCTGGTCGGAATCGACCAGAAGCCGGTCTCATTTGCTGCTAGGGACTTTTTAGCAGTATAACTAAGCTGAACCTGATCGAATTTGACCTGATCGCATTCGACCTAGGCACCAGCACCCAATGGTAACCTAATCGTGAACGACTGGGCACCACTTCTTGAAACCTGGTCGGGCCCGACTCAGGCCAAGGATTCATTCGCGAACCCCAATAGGGAAATATCTCAGCAGGATATCTGATCGGAATCGACCAGAAACCCGCTCACTTCAGACCGAATCGAATTTGACACAGGTCTCATTTGCTGCTAGGAACTTTTTAGCAGTATATCCGAAAGCTGAGCTTGATCGAGGTCGACCTAGGCACCAGCACCCATTGGTAACCTGATCGAGATCGACCAGGCACCACTTCTCGGCCTGATCGGGTTCGACACAGGCCAAGGGTAAAATCAAGGTTTCAGCAAGGTGACATCCATCGCCGGATCCTGATCGAGTCGACCAGGCATCGCATCCACTAAGCCCTTGTCGATCGACAAGGGCCGGGTTTCCGCGGGCAACTTCAACATCCTCGAGGAGCCTTTCGACTTCTCGCTTGCTGCCGTCGTTCCTCCTCCTGGCGGGCTCGCCAGGCCTGTGCCGGCGAGGGCGAGAACGTCTTCATGGTGGTCAGCTTTTCGGCCTCTCCGTTCCGGTTGCTAGCCAAGGAATATTATTGTTCGTCTCGGCTGCCCCGGTCAGAGGGCCGGCGGACCCCAGACGTTGCCAGACTCGGGCACCACCATCACGACGGTTCCGGCGAAGCGAAGGAACCGAAGTGCTGGGGAGGTTGACAGAAGGGAGGTGAGAGGGGGGTGGAGGAAGGGAGAGGGAACAGAAGGAGAGAGGATGTTAAAACGAGATTGTCGACGTGTGAGAAGAGAAACCCTGAACAAATCCTGTTGGCAGAGCCGTTTGAGATGGAAGCAGGTTGTGGTGAGAAGAAGAAGAGGAGGAAAGGAGAGAAAGAAGAGGCAGAAAAGTAAAAAGGAAACACGAGAAGCGAAGAGCTTGCAAGTGAATCAAACAAACAGAATTAAGATTTTTCCCACAACACAAGAAGGGCTGTACCACTGCGAGTAAGTATTCACTGAGCCTCGCATCTCCAGTCATCTCTTGTTCACCGGAACTACATCCCACATCCCGTCCTAATGATCTTGAGACTCATTCTTGGGTATACCCTCTCATATTGTCATAATGACGGCCCTCGTCCTTCCTGAACAATAAATTGACTGGGAACGCCGAGCTAGAAGAGAAAAAGTCGCAAAGCAGACACTCTGGATGAACGTGAAGTATATTCGGCATCGCAAGTCATCTACCGGCAGTATCTCCTCTTTCGGACCCTCCTTTCCCCCCGACCCCATTGTACCTCTCTCCCACAAATAACCAGCCATTCTAAATAAAGGGAGAAAGACAGAGTAATTGTAGATGGAATGTAAAGGTATCATTCCTCTTTCGCTGTATCCTACTCAGTGCCTTTCAACCCAAACCTCTAGTGAGGATAGCATGGGACCATCGAAGAGCAAAAGACCTAAAAACATTTCATTCGGTACACCATAGGTAGATTGGGTCTTCTCGATGTGATAGGGTATCGGATTATCCTTCTTTCAAGTCTACGCTGTTTTCTGTTCGTGATTCCCCCTACGAGCTTGTGTTGTACGGTGTGGATCAGTTTCAAAGCCGAAGAAGAAGATTCCAATAGAAGGGTTATTACTACCACCGCATATAATATGCTCGCCAATCCGCACAAGTGCTCCTGAATGAGTACTGACCCAAAATCAGCCGGACGGCGCCGCCCCAATCTTTCTATTGTATATGACCAGCTACTACTGCGCAATGACCAAAGCAACGTAGCACAATGCATTAAATTAGTCCATAATAAGTAGATACAAATTCGTAATGCCCTTAAGAACAATCTGTCAGGCTCCCGCCACAGGACGCGCAAACAGCCAAGACATAAATAGATCGAGCGGAGCATCCTGCTCTCTCTCGAAGCTATAAAGCTTCGACACATGAATGATCAGAACGTGTGTGTACATGGAGGCACAAAGCAGTCGTGCATGCTGTGGCCCCACAAATGAAACAAGTAGAACGGGAAACTTCTGTTCATCTGGGAAGGCTGGACTCTTCTGGGAAAGATCTTCAAGCTCTTGCTCATTCATATCAGAAAGACCTTCTATCATCTCTTCACTTTCCACTTTAAACTCCTTGACGCGACTACGCATGATATTGAGGATGGTAGCGAGCTCACCACCCAAAATCGAACCATCTCTGGCATTCATTGGCTGGTAAGCCACTGCGGCAATATGGGGAAGTGGTGGAGTATCGCGAATCTGAGGCTCAAGGAAAAGACGGATGCCCCAGCAGCGTCCTGTAGATGGACACTGTCCCATTTGTGTAGCGTAACTCATGAAAGGATTCGGTGGCCTAAAGATTAGCAAGCTTTAATGACTGAACCAGTAATCCAGCTGGAATAGACGGTACTCACGTCATTTTGCGTACTTCGCAGAAATCCATCAGTGATGAGTACGGACGGTGGAAGACTCGATTGGCAGTGGCATATTGGGTAAAAAAAAGAGCAGCCTCATAGGAACAGTTCTCTTCGTTGGTCACCAACCACCCTCTTTCCCGAGCCTCGTCTCTGTCGGCCAGTGGGATGTACTTGGGGAAGGGAAGATAAGAGGTAGTGGGGTGGGCTTGTAGAAACGACCGAGAACGCCGAACGAACGGTACAGATGACGGGTTTTCAGAGCTTGACTCAAGATCCCAAGAAGATACAGATATGTTATGTTCTTGCAGAAACAGCGGCATGACGTCCCCTTGTGAGCCAGGCGAATTTGAGACGAAGGGTGTGCTATGCTCTCTTCCGACCACTTCAAGGTACAGCGACCTCAATATCTTCCGAGCTTTACTCTCCTTCATCGTAGATGATAGTCAGGAAAGGAGGTCTGATCCAGATTAAGGAAAGTAGGTAGGTGATTAGTCGACCCTGATGCCCGCGGATGATAGTAGAGTGTTTGGAAAAAGGAACAGAAGCAAGGCCACAATCATGTGACAGGGTATTCACTGACAAATCTCACTAATTCTGGACCTCAACTTAAGTAAGTAATGATTATATATTGACTTTTCGAATCTTTCTATTCGACAACCCAACCCATGCACGTGGCGGCCAACAAACTCTCCCTAAACTTAAATATTGATTGCTATGGGCATATGGCTCTTTCCGGATCGATGAATGAAGCGCAGTGATGCCGTATTGACCTAGAGCTTATGCTGTGTCAAGGGCTCTTGATGAGGATAGTCAAGGGAGGGGCGGGGTATGTGACAGCAACAGATGTCATTAAGGCAGCCTGTCAAGGTGTCATTATCATTGGAGACACTCACCTTGGTGTCACTACAATGAGCCCTCATTTCTTTTTCTTTGAGAGCTTGACTTGATTGCGTGAGAATTGAAGTATATGACAGTCATGGATGCCTCATTCAAGACGATTGAAGCCTCATAAGCTCTAAGACTTGGCCCTCGGGGATTACTTGATTCAATGACAACATGTCAACGCACGGCGGGTGACTGAACCAAGAATTTAGGTACACCGATTTATCAAAGACTGGCTTTGCATGTCGATGCAGGTTCTCTGTACCAACATTTTCAAGCTTAACAAATAGCTCATGCTGTGTATTGGTGTCTTTCCAGTATGATAATGATAATATTACCTTGAACTTAATACATTTTGACCATGGATGCGCGGCTAGGGTTGCGGCAATATATATATCTCCGGCAACCATACTACTACCGGGTTCTGTTACTATCCACGCACGAAATACCCAGGTAACTTAAGGGACAACTAGATCATAAATACAGGATATAGATACACTATAAAATATAGTCAGATGGGTGGTGGTATGCTGCCTCGTTGAGCGTGGTAGTCCGAGTCATTTAGATATCTGTCAAGAACATAAAACAAAATAAAGCCTCAGCAAATAAGAAGTCCTCGATGGTCTAACGGTCATGATTTCCGCTTGTCAATCCCTTTCGGGAACAAGCGCGGGAGACCTGGGTTCGACTCCCAGTCGGGGAGATTTCTTTTTAAATTTTTCCATACCTACCTACCTACACTAACTATAATTTTTGTTGGCGTGATATAAACGTAACACAGGCAATTTATTGATCAATCCAGTTTTTCCGCTCCATTGTGAATGAAAATGCACGGTGCACTCCCCCTAGCTCATCCAGTATCCATACTATAAAAGTCTCGGCCAGCTAGCACATCTTCAGCTCAATTCGTGTTCTTTTATCATGGGCCGCGTCCCATGCATTCTACGCAGACGGCTTCTTAGAAAATGGCTGACATCGACCTGTATTTTGGTAATTACTCTCTGACGCAATAGCAAACTTATGGGCCTTGATCAAATGTGCCACTGGATGAGCTATTCTGCAGGTGTGGGTGACGAAGTGTGGGACGCCATGCTTCGCTGACCAGAAGCGCATCACTCCCCTGTCATGCATTGATCATCAATCGCTGCTATTACTGCCATTTTGTGTGACAACTAAAAGCCGGGCTTTTAAGGAACCATTTGAGTCGTATCCCATAACTGCCTAATGACAACAGAAACGATGCAGGTACCCATTACCCTAACCAGTCTGAATCACTACTCTGCACGTCTTTGCTATTATATTGGCATCGCTAGATCCACCAAAAAATATCAATAAAGCAGCAAAGTTACCAAGTCCCGCTAAAGAATAAAGCGACCGATCGACGCAGGATCAAAGCAATGATCACGACTGGAGAATCCGCCGAGCTGCCTCCATATCTTCCTCCGAAGGCATATTGACAATCATGAGATAAATAATGTTCTGCCATCATGTTAGCATCTGTAAGTCATCGGAAAAGGTATCATAAATACCTCTTTCAGCAGCTTCTTGATTCCTCCAATGGGACTTCCTAGAGATCCTGTCTGGCGAATGTCTCTGACTCCCCGTCCACGACCAGGAACGCTTTGGCCACCATACGACATATGAGCAGGTGAATGCTGATAACTCTCTTCGCGGTGCATCTCATCCTGCCCTCGTGGATCTTCCATCGGTAATCGTCCAAACCTGGCTGCACGAATACCAGCCGCCAGCCCTCCAAGGGACAAAGGTGGCGTTTCAATCGACTGCCTGCCGAGACCTCTTCTTCTATCGGTTCCATATCCGCCACCTCGAAGTTGCACTAATCGCTCACCAGTCATATGTCCACCCGTAAGTAGACCGACCAAGGAGCCGCTGCTGGCAGGATGGCTAGGGTCGGCATAACGTGATGTGAACGTTGGCTTGTGACCCTGACTCAAAGCACTATCGGGATTCTTCATCATCTAAAATCTCCGGGTCAGTTCCACTACCCACTAGTATGTGGTCCCGATGACATACAAATTTGGCCTGTGACCTCCGGTCCCAGTAATCCGAGACGAACTCCTTTCTTCGCTTCGTACCCTTCAGTTTAGACTGATTGTCTCCTCGATGTTCTGCTAACTCATCCAGGTCGGGAAAGACAAGAGGGGCACACTCCGAGAAGGGCAAAGTGCCGTGCGTCTTAGCGTCCGATGACTTGAGTTTATGCCGAACCCTGTTCATCAATCCTGCTCCACCATGCTCGATGGCCGCGGATATCGTGGAGTTCATATCGAAGGTAGCGTAGGGTGAGTCAGACCCGGGCTTCCATGTCATAACCAAACAGAAAAGACCACGAGGGCGAAAGAACTCGTCATTGATCTTGTCAAAGAATTTGTTCGTCCTATATACTATGCATCAGCATCACATAAAGTAACACCACATCCTACCACACAGGCCTTACCTTCTCCTACCATCAACAGCCATAGCCACATCAGTCGCCAACTGTATCAGAATCGAAACAGCTATCGAAATAGGCTCAGGAATGAACATAGTCCCAATAGAAGCCAAATTAATAGCTTGCAACCACGGAGTCGCCTGACACGCTCGGTTCGACGTCTCCAAAAAGTCAAGAAACATAGTCTTGTCGATACCAAAGGCCTCCAGAACAGGAGCATAGGCTCGAATGAAGCCTCGCTTGCGAGACTTCGGCCTTCGCTGAGGTAGCACCACAGGACAAGACAGTCTGGGAGAATCCGACGTGGGAGCGTACGAAGGTGGAGCGGGATAGTTCTGGAGGAACGAGACTGCTAGGCCCTCGATATCACCACCGGCAGGCTCGGACTCGGCACGGTGCTCATCCCCAGCTAACTCATCTTGCGCCTCGTCGAGGACCCATTCCTCTTCATGTTGCTCGTTGATGAGTTGCTCGACTTTGTCGGCATCCTCTGCAGTCGCTTCTCTGACAGTATTATCCGTGTCCGATGCATTCGCCTTTTTCTCGTCTCTACTTGCTTTATAGGCTGTTATGCTCTCCGAGGCTAGACCGATGCCGGATGCGATACCCTTGACGAGGTTGGCTCTGAGAGCCATAACTTTTGAGGAAGCGTTGTCGCTGACGGTGTCTAGGAACAAATGCCACGACGTTATAGGGCGTGAGACGTGGAAAATAAGTGAAATATGGGGTGAGACAGCGCCCATCCGGACAAAGAACTCTTATTGTATTCTCTACTACTGTACACCTAAGCTGGATGTTTCGGCCATATCCGACAACACTTGCCCCGATTAGGCAGTCAGCGCGACGGGAGGGTCAGATTACGAGGCTGTGCTGCAGCCACACTAGGCATCAGCCATTACATCTGTTGCAAGGTCAGGTTGTTACGCTGAAGAGATCATGTCGATTGGGTAGAATATATCAGAGGATGCGCGACTGTACTAGGAGAACATGAACCTGCGGATTATTGGCGCACAAAATTATCTCCGTGAGGGCTGTGCACTTCGTATCGGCAAGCAGATTCATAATAACCCTGTCAATAATGGCAGCAATACTCGGTGCCAAGGTTGAAATCCAGTAACATATCTTCTCAGGGGATATACTCCAGAGCTTGTCGTCTCTTGGCAATTGCTTGGCCCTCGACGCCACATGGCGTGTCGATGAGAGTTTCGCATCAGCTTCCTTTTCGGGATCTCAATATCCATTTCTTTGTTTGACATGTAATGGTCACTATCCCATCCCACTAACACACACCAAGCACTCAAATGCAAGCTCTCATGGTGCGTACTAGCCAACCTAACGCCGTCCCAGTTTTCACCCATATCCAATATAACACGAACACAATAGAAAATACCATAAGTAACATTCATTTGGACACATCTAGGATCTATGTACCCAGCTCACTCCTCCAAACGCCTGAAAATGAATCATCCAGCCATTAACTGAGATCGGCTCTCACACTCGGATATCATCCGCATTCTTGGGTCGGTATTCGGAGAAGCTCTCTGGCCAGAGGAACATCTTCTCTTCGTTGGATGGTGTGGCAGCGACAAATTTCGGAACCTGTTGTGATATTGTCAGCTTGGATGAATCATGCATCTGCAACACTCCAACATGAACTTACAGCCTGCCTGCTAGAAATCCGCCGCCACATGTTAGCCCGGGGGTTGAATCGGGCAGGCTTGCCCACACCCTTGGTCTTCTCCTGGTCCTCCTTCATGATCGCTTCTACTTCCCGCTTGACGTCGGAAAATGAGTCGAAACCAATGTAGGGGATCTTGTTCTCAATGCAGTATTCTTCCAACCGCAGGCCCTTGCGTGCAAAGAGAACATCTGCTTCGCGAGCAGCCGGGAGGTCGGACACGCCGTCACCAATGAAGATAATAAGAGGGATCTCTCCTTCCAAAGCATCTTCTGCTGCCTGCGCACGACCCTCTTTAATGGACAGCGCCTTGTCGTGACCAAGCTCTGTTTCATGCCTCCAGATCGGCTTCCACTCCGACCCGTCGGACTTGATTTCTGCATCATTGGCGACAATCTGAATGCGCGAAGCCTGAGACAAACAGTCAGCAACTACCCAACCAAACCCTAACTCTCACTCCCAAATCAAATCACCATACCTCTTGCTCTCCCAGGAAAGTGTCCAGCACTTTCTGCAAAATAGGCTTCAACCCAGCACTGATAACGTTGAACTCAATTCCCTTTTCGATACAAAACTTGTGAAATTCCTGGAACCCAGGATCGATATCCAGCTCCTCCTGCATCACATCGAAGCCGTCCTCGAAGGGGATCCGTAGCGAACCCCACATTTCCTCGGAGACTTCGCGGAACGAGCGCTCGCCGGATTTGATTTGCTCGTCAAGCATTTGGCGGCGCTTGGCGCCACATCCTAGGTTATCGAAGAGGACATGGCCTGTATCTTGCATGAATATCGTTCCATCGAAGTCTGTCCGATAGGTCGCGGATTAGCGGCATGGTCCAAGTGGAGATATACTGATCCACGGCACAAGAAAGCAAGCATTACAAGCAAAGGTACAGGGGTTACTGTTCTTTTACATACCTGAGAAGCAGACAATCTTCCTCGTTGTGGTACCGTTGGACGACATATCTAAGACAGGTATTTCTTTACTGGACGGGTTGAGAAACCGGTGAAACAGGAGTAATAATAATGCTGATAATGATGATGTATAGATGGCGACAGCCCAGACTAAAGATATGAGGATATGCCCCTGGTGAAATAGCTTCGGGGAGGATAAAAAAAAAAGAAGAAAAGAGGAGAACTTGTGGCGACGAGAAACCGGACCTTTCCAATGACGTACCTGGGCTCTGAAGAAACCGGCAATGATGCGACCACTGCCGACCGAATTGACTGACTAACGGTAGTCCAGCCCCAGTGGATCCAAGAATTCCCCGGGGGGTAAGTTGTTGTTGTTTTCTTATCTGGTGGGACCAACAGGGGACCGAATAATGGTGCAGCATGAAGGAACTGTGGCTAATATTAGATCCGATCGGCAAGCCGAGGGGACACTAAACAAAGTAAGTAAAGTTAGGGATTGGGTTGGTCTGAATCTTCCATAAACGTCATCGTCCCTTTGGTGACATAACCAACTGTTCTGATCTACTACCCTTTCATCCGGTTACGGAAGGTATCGCGGGCCAACATGCTCCCACATCCACCAGTCACACATACTGGACTTAATGAACTTTGAATACTTTGTAAACTGCTTTGACTTTTGACATCTTCGCAATAAGCATGCATTCAGTTTTCAAGATACTCATTATGTGTACACATGGCATGCTCGGTTCCGAAGAGCCACCCGCCACAACTATCTTGCCGAGGAGTGGTTGCGCAAATCCGGATGAAGCCGCTCGGCTAGCGATGGGGTTATGACAACATTCCTTCTCCACCAGGTCACTTTACGCCCAACCAGAGGCCGTGCCATCCCCAGATATCATCAGTGCCTACATAGGCCTTTCCACGATCCTACATTAAAATCGAGAAAGTTATCATTATGGTATCTGTAGCTTGCCTGCTTCATCGTATATGCATGCATATAACATAGGTTGGTCACGTCCCCCTCTTAGGATATGAGACGGCCATCATCGCATTCTATGTATCCAAATGACTATCAACAGCATCTCAATAGGTAGAGTCTAGCAGGTACCGGAAAGAAGCAAAACTAGTTAAACGGAGGGTCTTCAAAAGCCACCCGAGACCCCAGAAAACACATGGGTCGATGCGTGCGAATCCAGGATCATGCACCATGATTGCTCCATCGACTCTTTGCACGAATTCTCTTGCCAAATGCAAAGAAGAGAAATGGAACGGGGATCAAGACCGCCGCAACGCACCCAAATACCGTGATGCCCCAACTCACTCCGATGCCCTGGAACATCGGCTGCACAAATAGAGGGAATACACCTGCTAGGATGGATCGCAGAAGAGTGGTGGCCGCAACTGCGCTCGCGCTGACGCGCAGGAATGTGTCAACCAAATAATTGATTGAACTCTGAAAGATGGTGGTAAACCCGAAGCCCGTTAATGCGATGCCAATGAGTGATGGCCAATAGTTGATGTGAGGCGATGAGGTCCCTACATCTAGTCAGTGTGGCACAACAATTCATATCGGGGAGTTAGGGACTGACAGGCAAAAATAAATAAGCCCCCGGTGAAGGCAACCCCTCCAACCATCATCGGAGGCAATCGTGCTTCGGGCACGGGTTTGCCGTCATTCTCGCGAAGCCTTCTAAAGTAATATCGGTTGTTATAAACGTTGGCTAGAGCCGCGGCGAAGATCCCGACGAGGAGGGCGACAAAGGGAAGGCCTCCGGTAACATGGTTCCATCCGCGCTTCTCCTGGAATTCAATGGGAAAGCTTTCGAGGTTTACATATAAAATTGCTGTTAAGATCGTAAGTCACCGCATCCAAAACCCTTGCCAAAAATTACTACCAACCGTAAACGAAAGACCCATAGATCGACATGAACAGCCCAATTGGGGTGTTCAGTATCTGGAAAGGACGGATCAAATATTTCTGCGACATTTCGGAAACAGATACGTCCCATTCTTCGTGCTATTGTTTAGTTAGATTGAAACCTACTTGAAGAAGCAACAACTCTCTCAGCACCTGCGCTTGCTCACCTTCGCGTGCAGAGCCCAGTTCTTGCCCTCCAGCCGCAGCCGGCGTGCTTTTCGGACCAACAATGCAGGTGGATAGCTCTCATCAAGAATCAAGAAGTCCAGCACAGATTGCACTACCATCAATATCCCCGTCAGGTATTCCGTCCAGCGCCAACCTAGGCTACTATTAGACACGAAGGCTCCGCCAATGATGGGGCCAAGGCAAGGTCCGCCAACGAGAGTGACCGAGTAAACGACGATGGCCACACCGCGATGTTCGGGCCTCCAGATATCCGCCATTGCACCGCCGGTTATCGCCACGCTAGAGCTGCCGAAGAATCCAGAGAAAAATCGGGTGATCATTAATGTTTGGATATCCTTTGCTGTTGCCGTTCCGAAAGAGAAAATGCCTGCTATGAAATATGGCTGTATCGCCAGTCAGCTCGAATGACTGCACTTGGTGACTTGACGTTCTGAACTAACAGTCGCATGACAGGGCACGTACCAAGATGGTGACCATTTTACGACCATAAACCTCGCTCAGAGGCGCCCACAGTAACGGTCCTAGCCCGAGACCAAAGACCAGCAAGCTGATTCCCAATGTGGCTACTTCTTTCGAGACGCCAAACTCGTGCGCGATCGGCAGCATCCCCGCCGAATAGATCGCCGACGCAAAGGTGATCCAGCATGTAGTCATTCCATATAGAATGGTCGTGATGGCCTTCTTCCGAAAAGGCCAATTGATGGAACGGTAGGGATCATCTTGGCCATTGAAGTCGACCAGAACATCAGGGGTTGTTGCCTCGTAAAGTAGGGGATGAACCAAAACCGCCTCGCTTTTGGTACGCTCTTGGTGGTCGAGAGACATGGTTGATGTTAGTACCCAGTTTGGGATGAAATGAGAGCAAGCAAACAGCGCTGCCATGCCTCACTTGGGGGGGATTCCCTCCATTTAACAAGCATCCATGCAGAGGGGGTCCCCGGACAGACTGGTCTTATGCGCAACCGATGGCCGGAACGGAAGGCTCATGCAGTTTGGTCCGGGGTCGCATAGGCTTATCCGAACCCCGTCTGCCTCAGTCATAGTCCGTATGATTCCAATGACATCGAGCTTAGATCCCATGGGCTCCTCCACTCGGTCGCACTCATGACGACCAAAACGAAGATGTTGAAAGCCCGCTCTGTGCACCCTCATCCAAACTAATATCGAATCGCTTTTATCCTTACTTCTTCCTGCCAAATCTTTGGCACGCTCGTACATACCAAAATGGTAATGGGTTAACAAGGCTTAAAATGTGGTACAATTTTCGCTTGGATAGCTTCTAGGGATCGTGTACGTTCTGGTCTTATGATGTGAGACCTGCAGTATGCCGAAGAAAGGGAAATTGTGTCCCCTGCTTCACCTTATGTCTGATTGCCTGGTGATTTTCTCGCCCACTCCGGAACCAGCCACTCAGGAATATGGGAGTCATCAAGAAGAGGGAGCATTGGTCCGAAATTATCGCACGGTTCATGAGCGGAGCCTTCAACGTGCGGAACACCCGGGAAAAGCTCTTCAAAGGGATCCAAAGTCTCCGTCAAGAAATCGCTAGGAAGATTCCTTACTACATTGCAGGTTGGGTCGACAGGTGTAGGCCCATATGTCGTGTTCGTATCCCAGCACAATTCGGAGCCTGGGACCCCTTGCATATCATCTCGATTGGTCGGTGCTCGTTGTCTCCCTCTGCCAGCAGGGTCAAGCTCCTGCATCTCTCGTATGTACTGTGCCTTGGCCATCAGTTGTCTGATAGGCCGCCATAGGGTACCCTTTCTTCCGCTTTCCTTCATCTTCCAATTGTTATAAACGGTATTGACGTACCCCCATGCGCGGTCACAGTCTGCCGAAGGGGGCCGAGTGCAGATCTCAGAGAGCACAAAGGCAACGGCATGCCACTGAATATGCGTCTTTGAGTGCCAACTCCAGTGGGCAATCCTTTTGTTTGTGAGGACCAAGCTGGATAGTTTCAGGACCTCAATGGATGACAAGAAGAGCTGATCGCGCACAGGGTCCGATAAATTGTCACCATGTTCCATCTCATCTAGAGGGTATCGTGCAACTAGCCACGCACGTGCAACCATTAGACGGGCTACGAATGTTGAAGCCAAGCCAAAAGGCTGTGACGTATCACAATGCTGTAAATATCGCTCTTCAAGGCGATCGTGTAGGTTCTGCACTAATGCTTCACGTTCTTTCAATGACGGCCTGCCAGTCCCATTTCTCGGACCTCCCAAGCCTGGAACCACACAGCTAAGCTTCCACATGGTCTGCATAACCTCACACCTGATAAGACAGAAATACATGCCAGTTACACCGGCCCTCTCAACGGGTAGCTCGCCCATGTCAGCAGTCAGGTCAGCATCTTCAACATTGAGCGGTAGCTTCGTGTCAAAGGCTGAGCCCCGCACAATTGGCTCGCAGCCATGGTACTCTGATGAGCGGGCATCTAGAAGACAAATGTGCCACCACAGCCGCCGGCGTAGCTCTGTCTCCATGGGCTTGAGCCCGAACACGATGCCATCGCGGTGGAGGCCCATAGCTTGCGCGATGTGAAAGATGAGTGCTGTGAGCGACCAGACGGTCCGGGAATCGTCTTCGTTGCGTAGCGCGAAAAGGAAAAGCACTGCGGCTTGCAATAGCATGACACTTTGCGTATTTAGCAGGTCAGCACGGGCTAAGGCTTGTTCTATGGCGAACAGATAGGTTTCTGAAGCATGTGCCTTGGAGACGCCAATAGTTCTTAGGCACTGCTCGGGCTCCATGCTTATTACTGCAGAGTAATATATGGCGAATAAGAGTGCTTCAGTATCTTTATCGAGCGATTCGAGAGACGCAACCGCATCCCAATAGTTGCGAACTAACGTGGGCATGTGGAAGATACGCACCATCGGGGAAACGTTCTCCTGAAATACCCCGAAAAGGGTTACCGACTCAGTCAAGGGTGGATG